GCAAAAGGATTTTGGGGAAAAACTGATCTGTCTGCCCTTAAGTAGGCAGCCACTACCCTACCTTACAGAATATGACGCGAACCATGTTAGAGGTTTCACCGGTAAACCTCTAACATGGTTCGCGCAACGGCCCTTGGAATTCGGCGGCGGAAATTAATGCACGCACCTAATATTACTGCGCTTATCGGCCAGCTCTACGCCTGAGGGTTCGGTTTTAATAGATATCACGTTCTCCAGAAGAATTCTTGATGATACTAGCTAGAACTTCAATAGATTCATGGAGAATGGGGATTGCGAGGAAAACGCATATGAATGAAGTTAAGCCAACGAACCAGAAAACGGCAATCGCTAACTAGATATGCCATCTGTCCTAAGTTTAGAAATCGTATGCGGCGAAAAGTACAACTTTCGGATCAGAACACTTATCTTACTATCCTTCGTTAACGCCAGTTTTTGAGGCTTCAAGACATCTAAGCGCAGCTCTGATAGCAAGGGTAATTAGCGCAAAAATTTGGTGACAAACAGTAAAAGTACGCCGTCTAATAAACTGGTTTTAGTGGAACCTGTCATCAAAAAACCTAACAAGTGTAAGGATTTGCAGTAGAAAGTTACAACATAATAACATAAAACCTCAACATTATTTCATCAAAAAAGGAAAAACTTATGAAAGAAAAGGTTCGACTCACTTCAGGGTTGAGAATGGAGTATTTGGTAAAGCAGTTTGAGCAACAAGCAGACGATGGCATTTGATGTCGACGAAAACGCAAAGCAATCGTCACTCTGCGGAGCAATTTGAATGCTGGAAGAGACGTACACGTCTTTCATTAACTTCTCAGAAATGGTAATGAAAACCAGAAGGTCAAGAAAATTCGCCACAATGAATTGACTATAAACCTACTTTTCCCACTGGAGACACTTTCCCGCATTGCGGTGAAGGGAGAGGATGCATTTAGGAACATACAGGAATCGTTCTCGTCATAATTTAACAATGACTCATCACCATTGTTGGTTGGCCAAACAAACGATTAGTACAACCCACCGCGCAGCGCCCTATTGAAAACACTGTCTGCCTTGTCAGCCATCACACTTAACAGTGGGGATCCATACATTCTTAGGTTTAACGTTGATTCCTCATATTTATAGCTGCTTCGCTTTAACTACTCACAAACAGTCAATCTTTCTACTCCCAAAGAGGTAATCTCTAATTCAATTTGTCAAACAGAAAAATGGAAGCAAAACTAAGACAGACAGGAACTCTCACCGAATTCCCAGTGTCTCTTCATTCACAATGCTCCATATTCAAAGCAAAATCACATACCCTTTTGCTGATGTACCTATTATCTCGGAGACAGACCTAACCGATCCATAAACAGAACCTGGGTAAAAGTACAACTCGCGGCTGAGTCATCACCTAACAATTTCCAATCCTAGTACAATAAAGTAGTTCCGACGAAACCATCGGTCTGAGAAGCAACCACCTCTCTTGGGTTTCCAATGAATATTAGGCATCGGACTAAAAGAAAAGGAACGAGGATCGTGGGGACCCTTACAATTTGAAATAAGATTTGGTGGGTGCTGGGACGTCGATCAGGGCATGCCAAACCCCCAGTCTAATTAGGACCCACTTCATACGGTAAACGAAAGGCTGTCAATTATCGTATGTAACGTGAAACGAAACTCGCTTATTAACACAAAGTGGGTCGCATGTCAAACAGAGCATTATCAAACCATACATTACATCATGGGCGAATCCTTCTCTCCCCGATATCATGAAGCGCCAGCAACTCTGATAGGTTTTCCCATAAATGATCGAATGAAATACTTGGGCAAAAACATTTCATTTGCTGTGCACTTGAACATGGCCCGTTACGTACTCTTCCCTTTACCTATCCACCTAACTGAACGATTTCAACGTCTCAACACAAAAAGAAAGACATCCGAGTAGCAAATCCATGACAACATTATCAAAAAGAGAAAGTCATTGGAACTGGCCACTGAGACCCTGTAGTAACAGAAGAGCCATAATTCATTATAATTTTTTTATAACTTGTATACAATTAAGATCTCATCCTAAAGGCACTAAAAACAAAGCGGTTTTATAAAATATAACAATGATTTTGATGATAACAAACAATTCATGGAAACCTAATAAAAGTAAACGATCCTGCAGAATACGTCTAAAACCCTCTTGAAAACAAGAATTTTTCTACAAGTGATCGATCAGCTCCTTTGATGGTGATTCTTCCCTTCAACTCATCAACATGAGTTGCAACTGGCATACCAAGCTCATTCTCAAGGAACTCTCGAAGATCGCTGTTGCATGCCTTAAATATTACGGCTTGAATGAAATATTGGTGGATGAGAGCATAACTGAGGGGAGCTCACAAAAATATCGCCTTCGACTTCTTTCATTATAACAAGTTCGACATGATCTATATCCAACGTCTTTTCATTGAGGAGATCCTTCTTTCGACTGAGATATAACGGTAACGTATGATCTCGCCTTCGTCGTACATAATATGGCAAGTCTGGTGGCGGATCTAGAAAAAAGAGCTGTTGATGTGTAATATTCTTGTCACAGCAAATATATCTAACAATAAGACAGATACCGTACTGGCCGACCATTTTCTTTCACTGAATTTCAGAAATCAAACCTACTGCAGAAACTTGACGAAGGTAGTGCTACGAAATCAGTTACAGCACCTTACACTTCCTTTTCTCCTATTTTTGATGCAACTGTAATTACCTACAAGACGAGACATGCTTCAAATCCCCCTATTCGCCCGGTTTTTCGCTTCGTCTATATGTCACTTGCAACAATCGAAGAATATTAATCTTCCACTCAAGGCTTTTCCAACCAGAACTCCTATTATACGAACTCGCTATCGAGGGTTGCCATGATGTAGGTCGCGCGAGATCAACAGCATGGAAGACAACAAACTTTGTGGGACATTGGAAGAACGCATATCACTGATAGACAAGGGAATCGCTTGAATGATTGATAAAAATAATGTAAGAGTACTCGCATCAACCAGACAGAATAAGAAACAATGAAATGATTTTTAAGCGTAAGGTCGGACCAAAGGGAATGATTTCCAGTCAAAACTATCGCGTTTAGAATGGGGAATTTGTTGTATGGAGCAGAATGGTGCAGATACTGGACTTGAATGAAACTTATGACCACTCTGGGTTAGAGGAGTTGCCTTCGCTACCCCCCCCCCCCCCCCCCCATCACTATTTTTATTTTTATTTTTTGTCTTTCTCTCT